AGATTTTTTGTCAACATCAACATTTTGAAGTGATATTCATAATTTGATGAAGGGGTGATCATGATTCCTCAAGGAAAGCCCTCAAATTAGGGTTTTGATTGAAGATGACTGATCATTAACTTTTGGCCTAGTGCATGACCTAATGGCTTAAAGCATGATCTCAAGGGCCCAAATACAACTTATTAACCTAATTACATGGCTCAAGACATTTCCAAATATACAAGTGATGGATAGTTGAGGAATTGAATCAATTGATGAAAAGTCAACAGTCACACAAAAGTCAAACTTTGACTTTTTGGTAAACATTGGAATTCAAAAAATCAAGAATCATCAAGATATTCAAAACTATCAAACTTGATCATCAAGAATAAAAAAGTCAACAAAAATAAAAATTGAAGATTTTTCAAACACTTAAAAAAATTTAAGTGTTTTGTACATAAAAAACCCCTAACTTCACAAGCAAGTTTTCTCAAGATACAAGTTGATTCAAGGAAAACTTTCAACATGAAAGTTATAGGAATTAATGAATTCTACAAATTTGTTAATGTGGGATGATCCTCAAAAAGTGCTTGGATTAAGAGATATGGGCCCATGAAGTTCTGATTATTTTTACCCAACACTTAGTAAAAATTTCTAAGTGTTTTGTTCTTAACAAAGTCACTACTTTATGGCCATTTTCACTAAGATCCAAATTGATTTAGCAAAAACTCACAACATGAAAGTTGTAGATCTTGATTCAAGCTTTCCAAAATGTCCAAGAACACAAAATTATCATGCTTGAGCTAGATGTTTCGAAGAGATGAAGATGGCATGAAAAACTTGAATTTTAGGTCATTCTTGTGAAAACCTTATGGCCAAATCTCACACCATGTTACACAATCTCACTTTGCAGGCCTCTAACCTCCAAATCTATCCATAATCAGAAGATTGCACACACTCTTGAGCCATGATCCAAGTGATTAAAGTTTTATCCAATCCATTTTGCCATTTAAAGGAGAAAGGTTACACTTCCATTCTAGTAAAGCATGATTTATACAATGTCAACTCTCCTTGAGCCCATACATTGTTGATTCTGACTTCAAAACATCTCAGCACCAAGAAGAAACTATCTATAACCTGAAAAGCACCCCTAAAATCAGGTCATGCTCACATTGGAACCATAACTCTCATGTACCTTCACTTGCAATCTAACTAAACCAACTTTTGTTTGAGAACTCCATTTGAATTGATTCCTTCTCTAACAATCCAGAAATCTTGTCTATAAATAGAAGGCCTTGCTTATGAATTCAGAGAGATCTCAATGCTCAAAGTCACTATCACACACAAAGCTTGACTTTTTCACAAAGTCACAAACTTGCGAATTTGCAAAAGCTCTTAAGTCCTCTACAAACTAACCTTCCAAATACTCCATATACATCCTATAGAAGCTATCCAAGCCATCATTTAGCTTCTGTAACTTCATTATCATCATTCACCATTTCCATTTTCCATCTTTGCAACTTGACTTAGACAGAGCATTCCAGCCACTCTCGAAGCAAAGTAAGAATTGTAATACATTCACCAAGGTCCAAGGAAGCTTTTGGCATCATTTGTTTGCACCTAGAAGCATCCATACGCGTTCTGAGTTTTCACTTCAAAAGGTAAGTTTTCTAAACTGTGATATCTTGATACAAACATCATTTACATTTACTTTCTAAAGAGAAAATATAGATATCATGCCTTTAAAGCTAACTATATCATTAGTTTTCATTAATTTTGCTTGTGGAGTAAGAATCGAAGCTCTGACCAGTTAAGATTCATTTTTGGTACTGAGTAAAATTCTTTTTATTCTTTGAGTTTTAGTTAAAATAAGTGGCATGGTTGAATTCGTGTTCAAATTTCAAGCAAGTTTGGTGTTCACATTTTTTAAAATGGTTGAGAAATGAGAGTTTTACAGATTCAAAAATGGTGTTGTTGTTGGTCTGTTCGCGTGCAGGGAAGAAGAACAAGATAGCAAATTTTAAAACTTGATTTATAATATATTTACTGGGGGAGTTTCATAACTGGATGAAATAGCCACCCCAGTGATAAATCAAGCGTGCGTATACTAGAGGGACCTGGGCTCTTTTGTTTTGGGCTTAACATTTTTGCTTTCTAACACCCCCTAATTTTCTTTTACAAACACAAGCCCATTTTTTTTAACTAACATTTTCTTTTCTAAATTATTTTTATTTAATTAGAAAAAATAATAAAATCACAAAAATTTAAATTTAAGTTTTTAATTAATTAATTTAATTTTCATAATTAAAAATATTTAATCACTTTGTTTTATTTTATTAATTAATTTGTAAAATAATTAAAATTAGGCTTTTACTATTATTTCACACTATAAATTATTTTTTCTAAACAAAAACACCAAAAATACTTTTTTTTCTAAAACACTTAGAAAATATTTTAGGGTTTTGACATCTTTTCTCTTCATTATCTCTGCGTGTTTATTTATTTTTCGCATTTATATAATTATGTAATTTCTCAAAGCTTGTAATAGATAAATTAGGATTTCTTTATATTTTCCTCCCCAATTTATGAACTGTAGTCCCCATCCCCGAAGCGATGTAATAGCGTAGTTTATTTCTCGCATTTTTATTTTCTGATATATATATATATATATATATATATATATATATATATATATATATATATATATATATATATATATATATATATATATATATATATATATATATATATATATATATACACTAGTAATTAGGCGTGCATGGCAAGACCTTAAAAATAAATGTTAGAAAACCTAATCTCAAGATAAATACTTGAAAACAAAACAGTTCGCACACGTGCACCTCTAGGCTAACCCTCACTTGTTGCCTCGGATAAAAAACAGTCAAGTCCCTCGAACGTGAAATGCTTTAGCAAAGAACCTCGATTAAAAAAGATCATAGTCCCTCGATGACACTTCGATGTTGCCTTCAATAAACGATCTTAGTCCCTTACGAAAATTTCTAAAGCATCCTACAAATTGCCTTCTATGTTTGTACGATAATCCGCGCCTATCCCTCACATCCAACAATAGGGCTTCCTACTAACTAATGGTAGGATAACACTATCTAAAGGAGGGGGAAAAACATAGACTTTTTTAGTAGGTAGATCACTCGTAATCACTTGCTCACAAACTAAAATAATCTTCACACCTCACATTTTCAAAACAACTACTTTCAAAGTGCTTTATAAACACTCTTGAGGGCTGATACAAGAGTTATTATAAAACAAACTGCCTTATGTTGTTATTTTCAAAACATCTTCCCACAAAAACAACACTTTCTTTAAATATTTTTAAAACAAACATTTTGTATACATTCTCAACGATACGTGAATCATTACAAAATTGTCGTACTTAGGCATTTTCAAAATATTTGCAAACATACACAAACACAAAGCATTTTCAAAGTGAACTAGCAATTAAGAGTCCGTAGGAAACTACGAATGAAAAATGTGCTAACACATTCCCTTTTCATAACCTACCCCCTTACTCAGAAAAATTCTCAAAAGATTTTTCATGTTCTTTTCACCCTTTTCTTTATTGAATAAAAGAAAAGTCGGTGACGACTCTTGCCATCCACAACATTTACGATAAAACGCAAAATCAAAAGTCAGTTCTCCCACCATAATACAGTAGGGAACACTCATAATCGTTATTCTTATATAAAACATCTCACGTGAGACTTGAGGTATTCTCTCTAGTCCATACATCACTTTACTTTTCACTCTCTTACTGATTTAGACGTTGGAATATTTAGGTGTTGGAATATTAACTTTATAGATCCTTTCTAGTGCAGTTGTACCAAAGATGTGCTCCACCAAACTAAGCCCCTACTTCTTCACTTGACCGATTATTTCTGATTTCCTAACTGTTATGACTTTGATTCCTCATGGTTTGTGAAAAATATTCTCTAATTATATTTTAGGTTTTCCACAAAGTTGAATTTGGTAATGTACTAATGGTACATGTTCTTTTTGTAGTCTTTGTTTTTACATCCTTTTCTTCCATCCTTTTCTTCCATGTGACTGAAGAAATTATCATAAAATTAGGGCTGCTGAAAAAACAAAGTGAATGTGTAATTCATGAAATTAAAATAAATTCAAAGGCTTCTGTTTGAGAAAATAACATTGAATTTTGTTAAGGGGATTTACCAAAAATGCCAAAAAAGTAGGTCTACATAACCTTGTCATCACTCCACAACAATGATAATATTTAGATAAAGCAAATAAGAATACATTGTTAGAAAATATTCAGACGTAGCTCGCATATTAAACAAACATTTTATACAAAAATATTCATAAGCTCCACCAGAACAAAATATTAAAACAAGTTGCAAATAGTTTAAGGACAGAAACTCTAAACAAACTTTTGCAAATATTCTAAAATGGAATAAAACCAAAATTGGTAGTAGAAATTGATAACAACACAGTAACATCACTCTCACTAAGTAGACATCTTTTATAATGTTTTTTTCATGCCAACCTTATAAATTATGTTTGTGTAATATGTAATGTAATGCAAGCTCCATAATTATTTATGATGTCGTAAAATAATCATGCTGAGTAAACTATAAAGAAACTGCTGAAGTAGAGATAAGATCCATATCACAAAATATCTTAATCTTAATATGATACAGTTCAAAAACAAGTCTTATTCTAAACTATAATTTACACAAGACTAAAAAATGGCATAAACAAACCTTATGCTGAAAAGAATTTACAAGAGACTCACTTCACTCTTGTTGGCCTCAGAATCGAATCCTACTATGACTTCTTATCCAAGTATGCAACCGATATGTTTGGATTTCCACTGCGAAGGTACATTTAGTGTCCAATACCGGCAGCTACACATTTTTGTGACACCATCGCGTGAAGTCGCCTTAAACACAAGAAATCTAAAAATCTAAAATGATTCATTTTCCCCCATTTTTACACCATCCTATTCGATATATATTATTCTATTTCTAACCAGCTCTTGGAAGTGAATCCTGATGAGTCAGTTCATAGTTTCCATTTTCAGGTAGCTGACTCTCACTATCCACAATATTTGCTTTTGAACAAAGGAAGAAGAAAGAAGATGTGTATATTGAAATATGCCAAAAGCTGTAAAAAAACACATTTCAAAAAGAAAGACAACATGAGAGATAGAGAATGTATAAACAAAAAGAAGGGAAATAATGATAGTAATATTGTTAATACCTATGCCAAAACCAGTAATTTTCGCTGGTTTCAAGTGTCCGGCTTAATATTGCCAGTGACAGTGCAGAAAAACCAGCTAATGCAAAAGGCCAGTGGTACCGTCTTAGAAGTGTTCCAATAAGATTACATATCCATCGCTTTATCACCTGTAAACTGCAGATAAGGTTCATCACGAATAAGTTATATTCAGTGGAATTTAAACAAATCGCTTTTGTTTCCTGTTACGCTATGTAGTACAAAATATTGTCTAATAGTGGCTATAGCACCGTCTAATAGTGCTATAGCAGCGCTATAGCCACTATAGCATAGCAGAATTTGAGTTAACCGCTATCAATTACAGTGCCATTGATCGCTATTATGTTGCATGTAAACCAATATAATGTCGTACTAGAAACAAACTTACATCTGAGAGAAATCAAGTGAGAATCTAACTGAAAATGAAAGGGACCTATACTTTGTTGACAGCTCTATAACCCATCCAATAAGGAGACCAAGAGCACCAATCACCATCACAAGAACAACATTGGAAGACCTACGTATTTCAAAATCAAATATGAAAAAGACTATTAACATTTTTATGGTGTTTGTGTATATGCGTGCGCCTGTGTGAATATTCGGTCTATTAGTTCATTTACCTGGTTGCATTTGTTACAGCCATTAGAGCAGTAAGGATAGCAACAGCTGTGTGGATTGCCCTCTTCAATACTTCATCAATGGTAGCTAGATAAAGAAAAGTGCTAATCACAGCCATGAAAGAGAGCCAGAAGTCCATGAACTGTAAGACGTTAAAGTTTAATGCACACCAAGCACCTACATCACAAGCATGATATAGTCCACTAGCAATTCCACTAGATGTGAACAAAACCCATTCTGCTAATGCCTGCATAATAAACGATGTTATGAAATTAGAACACCACCATAAAAAGGTAAACTATGGGTTGCATGAAATTAGAACACCACCATAAAAAGGTAAACTATGGGTTGCATACAAACGTTTATCTAATGAGATAATAAGAGTTACCAAACAAGTAGAGAGAAAACCACCTTCTGCCGAAGAGCCCAATAGGCAGGAAGTATGGCCGCAGCATTTGATACAATGAGAAAAAATGATTGTCGTATATGCCCTGCACAAAATTTCAGAAACTGGATTAGGGAATAAAAATATATATGATCTGTCTTGCATGCCATTTTGTTACTACTCTACACATCAAGAATATAATGAGTTTTCACGTGATTTCATGTACTGGATTTAGAGAAATGTTTCATTTCAAGAACCCTGAAATTCCTCACTTGATTCCTCTCTAGTTGAACCATTTTCTGTAAATTGAAAGAGGGTTTTTCTATTCTTATGATCATTGCAATCAAAACCCTCAATAGTTACACGATTTCATTGAGAAAACTTGGAGAGTTGTGTTTCAATTTGACAAGTCTTTTGAAAGTAAGGTTAGGTCTAAAGGTGTAAACATTTACAAGCACAAAGGTTCTAACTTGACAAAAAAAACTGAAGTTAAAAAAGAAATAAAGATAAAGGACCAATAGATGAGTTTGCCTGATAAATAAGTTACACAACAAGAATAATAAAATCGATGCTTTATATAAGTAAATTTGAATACTGCAATGCAATAAAATCACTAACTTCATCAATCTGAAAAATGAACAAGCACCTTGATGTGATACAATTTCAATGCTACAGTCGATGCCTCCATGGTTTCGATCACAAGAGCAGAAGCTGAAGACAACAAAGTAAACGTTTAAAATGATGAATTCCTTAACACATTCGGGAAAAAAATAAAAAACATGCAATAATCTAATCTCCAAAAAGAAGATTAATACAATTAGGAACAAGCAAAGGGTTTAAAATAGACCTGTATGATGTCAAGCCACTTGCATCAAAAGAAAATTTACAGTCCCCGCGAGAGGAACAACGTTTCGGGCATCGTTCAAGCGAAAGAGACATGACAGTTGGCCCTTTTGAAGGATCGTGGCTGGTATTAAGATATCTAAGACCAAAACCCCAAGTTCCTTCTCTAGCATACATAATATAGAAATTGATCTTGTCATCACTCGAATCATATAGCATGAAAAACATAGATGTGTCGCTTTTTATTGACTTGTTAACATAATGATAGTCTCGGTTAATAAGAGATGGTAGTCCACCAAATCTAATGTAAACTTCATAATTGATCTTCACGTCTGAGGATAGTTGTACATGAATATTTCCTCCGGCTGCACCACGAGGAATGTCCAAAAGTAAATAAGTCCAAATGTTACCAGGTTCGCCATTGTATGATGAGTTACTCAAAAGTGGTTCAAGAGGGAAATTGGCAGAAGTATAAGATGCTCCAGCGCTAACCGGTAAATAATATGATTCAAAGGGAGTTGGACCTCTCCGTACAAATGTCTGCAGAAAACCATTCTCGTATTGTCAATAACTGATTCCAGCATAAATAAATACCTTCTAGCATCAAGACATCGCATGATTCTACCCTAGGATGTTCTTGAATCACTTCAAATCAAGAAATAATAATAGAGACGATTTTTGCATAACCTAACTTAAACAACTTTTCCGATAACTTTCTAAGTGGTTAACACAGTTCAAATAGGTGGTTAATTACGTTCAGCAGATGGTTAATGGATATACTAGTTTTTTAAACTCATTAACCATCAACGTAACTTTATTAACCACGAATTTGGACGTGGTTAACCATTTGGACTTGGTACATTAACTTGATTCTACCCATTCTACTTGTAACCTCAAATGTTGTATTGTAGTACAGAGATTAGCCTAACCTTAATTGTGGTCCAAGGATTAGCATAACCATTCTACCGATACTCAGAAATTTTAGAGCCGATTAGCATAAACTTAATTGTTATTATAAAGAAAGTTCTTTAGGTGACAACACAAAAAGGAAATTTTGGCAGAAAATATCTTGCAAAGAATACTACCTGAAGCGTGTAAATATCCATTGTACAATTTGGACCAGCCTTCCCAAGTGGGCATTGAAGCACATGAGATTCCACTGAATAGCAAACCCTTACATTGCTATCTTGTATCTTTATAGGATTGATCGGTACAATAGTAATGTACCAACGACCGATTAATGGAGAATGAATAACCAGCGGCACTTTACTTAAATCACTGGAGTAATCGAACGAAGCAACTGAAGGCATTGAACCATGGCGAACAAAGCACATTAAACTGACATCATTTGCACCAGATGTTTTGTTTGAAGGCGTGACATTGAATTTGACATCACTTGCCATAATAGTAAATTCGTCTGCCACATTTATTATATCAAAGGAGAAAATGTATGATACGCTTTCATCAGCACAAAAAGTTTTCAAACTACTTTTGCAGGTCATCAAATTTTCCAGCATTGTCTCGTTCACCGTTGTAGCTTTCAAAGTACTATTGACATTAGATGTTGTGCATGAAAATGGATAAACGGGACTGTTACAGAAATCTCCCATCATCATTGAATTTGTACATGCTTCCACAGTTATATTGGCAGCAAAGGAGTATGCTGGACCTCGGACAATCTTCAGAAGTGAAAATATTATTACTCTTAGGGTAATTTTCAGAATTATTTTGGGTAAAATATAATATTTGCATAATAAACCTTACCATCTTCGACTGTGTTCTTGTAGGTCCAATGCCATTGAAAAGACCAATGAACCAAACACCTGGAGATATCTGAACAACAATTTGTTATGGTTTCCATCTTAGGAATTACATAAGAGCAAAAGAAAAATCACTCGCAACTAAACATTCCCAAAGCAACATATATGCTAGTTATATAAAATCGATCGTGTATTGTGACCTAACATCTCAAGCTTTTTGGAGGGCTTGTCCTTGACATATCACATACCGGAAGCTTTTCGGATCATGTATTAAATAAAATATAATGCTTCAAGTAAAAAAAAAAAAGCGTAAAACAATACCTGATTGTTTGTCAGTTTCATAGTGATATTTTTCTGCATAGGGAAGCATTGTTCCACATCTAAACCATTTATGCCTGAATAGTACGGGGAACAAAAAGTAATCATAATACGAAACTGAAAACAAACGGTGAAAAAAGAAAGCATGTCTCTTCTTTCTTGTCAAGAAGAGAGATCGATAATGAGAAGGAGAGCAGGCCAATGATAGATAGGAATCATAGACGGTTAACAACAACATGGCAACTATTTCTTAGCAACTGTGCTTCCTCGATCTCCTACCTGAGATGGCGGAATCTTTCAAAGTTAAGTTTAGGGCATCTGGCAGTGGAGGACCTCCGTCTCTAAAGCATATTATTGGCAGTGTGCTCATTGGAACTCTTTCGATTCTAGAGACATCCTGAAAACAGAAGGGCCGATTCAACAGAAAGATAATATCGGGATGAGCAATTCGTGGACTTTTATGTAGCATAGTCGGTAATGACAATTTTAATAAACGAAGAAAAATCAATGACATATAATGAAGAAGAAAAATTATCAGAGAACTATATCATTTGTATTTATACCTTATGTAATATGAGGCTTTTTAAAACGGGTGATAACAAAATAGAAGAAAATGAAATATTTAATCCAAGGCAACAATGTACTTACAAGGTCTACATCTGAATTCATTGCTATAGACATCGAAGAAAACCATGACGGCAAGTCAACTGAAGCAATAGAAAACATTGAGACAAGTAAGATCATTCACAACTCCAAAGTCCAAACATATCTGAAAAATGAGGTTTTTCGAGAAAACATATCTATATCTAACAGATTTTCAAAATAATTGAACTCATAATTGCAATCAAATCACCAAAGCAGAATGAAAAATAAAATTAACTCCTTCTGCGATACCATCTCACATTTGTCTCCGTCTGAAATTTTTTAGTATGTGTTTGGTTTTGCGGTTGAAAAAATTGATTATGATAAATGTGAGTTAAAGGTAACGTGATTTATGTTTGGATAAATTGTTGCAAAAGTGAGTTGAACAGTAAATTTCAATATAAAAATCACGTTTAGACTCAAGCTACAAATCATAGCTTCAAGTAGAATCAATTCTAGAAAGCAGAATCAATTCTACTTGATAGCAACGAAACATGTGAAAATAAAGTTTACACTTCCAGAATCAATTCTAAGTGCTCCAACCGTGAAACCAAACATTGTCCAGCTGATTATTACCTCTTCCTTCCTCATATAAGGTTTCTGATCATATTAGTTCAATCTAACAAACTAGCACACTAGCACGTCACAAAATAGATAACAAATAACAAACAGCAAATGTTCCGACCTCAAATCCACTGCGTCAAATCTAACAAACTAGCACACTAGCAAATCGCAAACTAGATAACAAATAACAACAGCAATTGGTCCGACCTCAAATCCGCTGCACCGTTTTCCAAGGTATGTTCGAGATCCACCTCAGACCATTCGGGCTGTTTGAGAGAATTGGGGGTTTAAACCATGCACAATAGCTTACAAACTCTTTCACCCCTTAGCCTCGAGTGGAGAACTACTGTTCTGGTACAGAAAAGTCTTACATTACTAGGAACTGAAACCAAGAGCGGTATATAAACACTCACATCCACAACCCCTCGAGTCACCTTTTAACTAAAGACAAAATTGTGAGGGTTTACAAGAAGTCCCAATGCGGATAATACCTAAGAGAAGTTGTATTCCGGAGTTACCAAATAAGATTGCATACCTATGCTTCAAGCCCATACATGATATACTTGTATAGTTATTATTACAAGGCAACTATGATCAGAGTCGTCTTGAGTTTTTGGAGGCCCTGAGTAGGTTAGGTCATTCAACCGTTGCAAAATAAATAGGGACCCTATTTTGCATATTTTATGAGACCCTGTATAGCCACGTTTTAACTGTAACAAATTTTAGACCCTGAGCATTAGTCTGTCTTGCATGCCTTCAAAGACGGCCTCGCTCTAATAAACTATAGCAACATAACCTAGAAATATCTATAAAACACATGACTCATATTTCACATGATCAAGTCCATTATAGCCGAATAATAATCACAACAACAAAATTTTGCTGTAACCAGTCTGTTAGATTCCCCCTAATACACAAAAACTAACCAATTGTGCAATCCTCACAGACTAAACCCCATATGAAGCAAGTAACATCAAATTCAATTCTAACACTAACATAATGCTTCATCACAAACAACCACAACAACAACAAATCAAGCAAATATTAATTATTAAAAACAAAAAGGGTCACTATGAATTAGGTGACAAACCTCTAATATAGCGCAAATCAAAGGGTCTGAGCCTAGTATGAGGGTAGCTGAAGCTTGAAACAATAAAGGTTTCACCTTTACTGCTGGGTTCACCATTTGCAGAGAGTAGAACAAAGGAACAAAAGAAGAGAAGCACAAAATTGAAAAAAGTCATCTTTTTTACTCTAATGATTTTTCTACCAATTTTGTGAGGGTTCTTCTGAGATCATAGCGATGAAATTGGTTGGGGGAGTGAGTGAGTGACGCAAAAGGGTATTATTTTTTAATTAATTAATCAAATAAGAATTAAAAAAAAAAAAAACATTTGTCAGTGAGAATGTGGGAAACACATGTAAAAAGAAGAAATTTACTAATGACACGTTAGGTTAATATTAAAAATAAAAATAAAAATAAAAACACGAAATCTATGTGATATACGATGATGATGCTCTATGTTAGGTACAATGTTGACTCATTTTAGATTGACTTTAGTCTAATGTGGTAACCACCTGGAGGACTATTTTATTTTATATTAATTTATATTAATTAAAGAGAAAATTTAGATATAATTTTTTATGATAAAATATATAATTTTAATTTTTTCGTACTTTTATTTTTTAAGAGAAAAAATAAAATATATTAATAATATAAAATATTTTTACACTGTTAATTAATGAGAGATATATCTAATTAAATTCGATTTTTATTTTTAAAAAACTTATATAATATGACAAGTTTAACAATTGTGATTGGTTGTATGTGTAATATTTTATTATATTGTTTGTATACTATCCAAACTCATTCTTTAAATGATATTTAAGTATATTTGTTATATTTATATTGAAAAATAGTAAAGATTACATCTAAAGAATTGTATTTAAGTTTTTTTCATTAATTAAAGTGTAATATATTTTACGATTTAGTTAAAAATGGTTTTATTTTTAATTTAATGTGTTTTTTTACGTTTTCACGATCGGTGTCGATCTCCTCAAAGACAGAATGATCTGACCAATCGTTATTCTACAGGATGTTCTGACCAATCGTTATTATCACTTAAGAATTGACCTCAATATTTCTCAAATGTGTTCTTTAATAAGAGTTTCATAAACTTGTTGGAGCCCAAGTGCTTGAATCAAATCAAGAAAGTCATAATCACCTTTATTAAAAGAGAATAAAGGAAGTGCACTATGAGCATCTTCAATGAATGATTGCTTGTTCATTGTTTAACCATAATCAATGTTATTTATTTCAATTTGTCATTAGAGTTTTCTTAGTTAACACTCTAAATTACTTAAAAATAAGAAATGTTACTCAAATAAGCAATTATAAGAACACATTATTTATCATTAAAATATTATTTCTCATGAAAAAGTGAATTCTTTTTTATGGGGTGTTCACAGTGATTTCTGGTGAACAACCGCTAGTCTTCCAAACTATCGAATAAACTTAATTACTATTACTCAATTTCTCTGGTAACTTGCAGGATCGACTAGATTGATCCTATGGAACATAGTTGTTTGGTTAAGTCTAATTGTAAAACTGATATTCCTATTTAGGACTTCTAATTAAAGTGTTTCGAAGATATCCAATCCACTTCGATTTCTATACTGAATGATTCGAAGGACAATTTCTATATGATATCAGGAATGTTCTTTAGAAAAGTAAAAATACTTAAAATGGGGAAAATGGCAGGATTAAGTAAAAGAATGTAAAAGTTATTGAATGTTTAGAGGATTCGAACATAAGAAAAGTGTTTAAATGCAGAAAGAAATAAATGACTTCGAATGTAAATGCTTTAATGTAAAGGCATAAATGTAAAATTGTTTGAAGCACAAATGAAATGGAAGTGAAAGACAAAACTGGAAAATGTAAAGAGTTTTCATTGAATTGTAAATGTTGGTGTTATCATACGTACATCTTTCGAGCATTCGTTTCCCTATCCATGCAGTATTTTGAATGTTTACTGAATTTGTACAACAGATATGACACCTCAAATCCCAACACTAAGACCTCTATTTATACTACTTCGACCATAACGGTATTGTTATCAGAATCTGCCACGTTCGAAGCATGCAGAGCATTACTTCCCTCTAGCCTCCACGCGTCCTCGAACGTTCCAATGCTTATGTATTTTGAATTTCCAATATCCCGCTCACGTTTGAATTTCAAGCGCCTTGGTACCTTCATTTCGAATTCGTTTCAAAAACAACCCTCACAAATATAGTCTCATCATTATTTCGAACAAGGCTTTAGACTTACACTCCACAACTATCATTCGAAACCTTGAACTTTAATATTTCCATTCGAAACAAACAGTCTCTTTCATTCCAAATCATCAAACTTGCTTTATTCAAACAAAACCCCATGAATCATAATATCAAAATCTTCAGCCAACAAAATGCCCCTTTAAAATATGTATTTCGAACCCTTTGAGAAATATTTATTTTAAATAGATTCACAAGATTTTGACAGGTCTTTTTGAAGAATCATGACATTTACTGTGCATGACTTTACCCACGTCAATCAAGACGCCTTTTTGAGTACCTAACCGTCTTGGACCACTTACCACAGCATGGTGTGGTTTAAAAAATAATGATTACTATTAATCACACTCATTACCAACACTAGACCTTACGCCACCTCTCTCTGAATCCACCCAACGACTTCCACGTACCCCTAATCTTATTTAGTGGGTGCTTTACACTCACTCTTCCACGCCCTCTATAAAACTCATCAGTTTAGTCTTTTCTTCTTTTTCTCCGAAATTCTGAAACCTCCCTCTTTTTCACTAAACCCTAAAATTTCCAGCAATCTTGACAATGTCTTCATCAACATCATCACAATTGAAGAAATCATCAAAGAGGAAGAACAAGAACACTAACACGGAAACTGTCATGGAGAGCAAGGTGGGTATTTATCAGAATCAATCTGTGCTCAATCCTCAAGCAATCTCCAAAGAGAAAGAAATGTTGTATGCTTATCAGGTATTAATCCCTACCATTGTATCTGGAAAAAGGTTTGCCCTAATGGGTCCTTTAACTGTTTTTGAAATTCTAAAAGATACTAGGAAAATTTTCCCCGTTTGCTATAAATTCAAACCCCTATTCAACAAAATGGATGCCCCTAAGGCGGGAACTGAAGATATAAGCGAATCATCTGATTCAAAAACAACTGAAACTCCAGTCTTATCCCCAAAAGATCCTTTCATTTTAGATTACATCAAAAGCAATTTCAAACCATTTCGATCCTGCCCCACTTCAGATGTAGCATATCAAAACTGGCTTACTAAAGTAGAATCCAAAAAATCCCAGTAATGGGAAGAATTAGGAATTTATAATTTAATCAAACTGTCGAAACCAGGCTTTACTTACAGTCACCCATTGCTATTTGCTTCATTGTACTTCTGGGACAGTACTTATAACACTTTCCACCTTCCGGGCGGAATGATAACACCCACCTTCTTTGATATAGCTGCCATCACTGGTCTCTCACCAGTGGGGGAAACTTACATTCCTGATAACGAAGAACATTCTAGCATCATTGACTTCGATGTCAAACTAGCCAACTTTCAAAATTCATCAGTCATTATCATACTGAAGGGGATGATGTCTCAGACGTAGAACACATCGCTTTCCTTACCTTGTGGCTATCACGATATGTGTTTTGCAGCAGATCCTTGCAAGTGGCGAGTAGGTTCATTCCCCTAGCCAGGGATTTCCATGAAAATAGGAAAGTCTGTCTGAGTGAACTGTTACTTGTCGATCTTTATGAGAGCTTAAGATCAACAGTTTCTAGTTTAGAATCCCATGCTCCAAAGAACATTCTTCTGGCTGGACCCTTTTGGTTGCTTCAGCTATGGCTTAATGCCACGTTCGAATCTTCCTTATCAACTGCTGATACTATCATCGAACAAGATCCAGAAATAACTGACAGGATCATCGAAGGCACAAGGCTTCAAAAGCTTACCCCGAATGATGACAAGGACGATTTCAAAGTCCATTTTTCTAAATACATCATGATTTTTTCAAAGAGACACAAGTTCGAAGAGTCCATGGCACCTTTTGCTCAAAGGACTTGTGGACCATCATGGTTCACAATGCCTCTCTCAGAAGTTGTCAAGAGCAAAGAGATGCAGGACATTTGGAAAGCGTTTCTTCTCCCTAGGCTAATTTCCTCAAGAATTACTCCAACAAAGAATCAGATTTTCCTCCTGGCATATCAACCCAACTTCGTTTCTCGACAATTTGGCCTATGCCAACTAATTCCTGAACCTTTGTTCCAAACACAAAGTGCCATAACCTCAGGTAAAACGTTCAAAACAAGAGAGGCCAAATTGCAACAGGAGCAATATCAAGATTTTGCTCAGTTTGAGCTTTTACCTTTCGAGCCAACATACTTCACAGCAAAAGGATTTCTTGAATGGTGGACTAAGTTCTACCAGACATATATGTTTGACACACTCACCATTCAACAAAAGCTAACTGGCGCGTTCAATGTGCAGGTACACTCCAAGAAAGGTATGTTTACTCATGTCAAAGAAATTAGGGCTTTTCAAAATTATTCCGAAACCACTTATGATCCCACACACTTGAGAACCACTATACATCAAGCGGCTGAGACCTTGAAGGAAAAATTTAAAGAAAAAATTTCTAAGCTCAAACTTCCTTCAGGGTTGTCACCTGAGGATAGGTATAGGTTGGCACTCGAAATGCATCCACCTAAATTTCCTAGGTTGCCTACCTCAGAACTGGCTCTGGCTTGGTTTCCTCCATACCCTTGGTGGTTCACTTGCAAAGAAATGTTCAAATACCAGTCTCAAAAGAAACTAAAGCCATCTGAGACTGTGACATGGGCTCGTTACTGGCTTCATAATTTCCCAGGACATATTCGCTATGACCTTCCTGCCATTTCGATTACATCTAATCAAGGCACAGGTGCGAATGCTTGGGAAAATTCCAATTGTATCCTAATTCCCTTATCCTTAACACTTTACCTTAATTGTTTCACTTTTCAGCCACTAGGATAAAGAACGTTACTTTGAAGCCCAAGGAAGGAAACACTTCTCAACAAGCTATTGAAGTTAGCGATGATGCAACCCAAACAATACCAACAATAACAACAACGACTACAACAACAACACCGGCAGCAGCAGACATCTCAATTCCAAAGGTAATC